TTTTTTCTCCATTCTCTACTGCCATTATTTACATTTTCATGTGTTGTTTATTTCTATTCATAAATGAATATTTAGGAAAAACAAACAAAATAAACAAATAAACCAGGACATTGTAAAACCTGATGTTATTTGAATTATTTGTATGAGCGCTTAGATTTGATTCGTATGTTTCAATATGATGATCATTGAAAGCTGTAAACTGTTTCTTTTTTAAAGTCTGATTCTAAACAATAAATTTCCAACTACTGATAAAATAGAAATGAACAGAAACTCTTTTTTCTTCAATCCTAAAAATTATAGGTCGATGTTGTAGTGATTAATCAAATGTTATTTCCAAGGTAAAAAGAAAAAAAAGTTCCATTTTTGTTTAAGTTTCAATTTCGAGAAGAAAAGGACATAACATTTTTCACTTTATTAATTAATTAATCCTTGTAGTGTCGGCTATTATGTTAAGCCTATATACCTTATTCTAACTCTCGGAAAGACCATTCAATTCATTCTACTTGAGTCATATTTTGACCTTGTTAATTATTGGCTTATCAATCTTGACTGTTTTTATATGAGCGCATATGTGTGTGCCCTTCTTATCCTATTCATCACATGTCTGTAGCTTATTTTGTGTGATTACAAATATTGATTAACGTTTGGTTAAGTGGTGTTGGCTCATATGCCTTCTCCACTGTGTCTCATTTCGCTTCGTTTTCTTCTCTTCGCTTCTCCGATATTTTGTCAAAATCAACAATTGTATGTAATATACGTGTTCAAAATTCATTCTCGTATTTGACTTATTTAATTCCGTTATTGACTAACGCGATTTAAGTCGATGATTATATACGAGGATAGACGACATATATATTTCAACAAAAATCATTCATACAATGTACCTGAAGTCAGATCCCGAGGCATTAAAGTGGAGAGTTCTTCGACAAACATCGTCCGATCTAAATGGCGACAAAATAAAGGGCCCCACTAAATGCTTATTGAACTTGATGATATTTTTACAGATGATGTTAATATCATGATTGTTCTAGATGTATGTATGTAACTACCCAGATAAGTAAGAATTGATTATTTTCAAAAACGAAAAGGTAGAATCAAGAAGAAATCCACTTCCACATTAATCATAAAGAAATATCACAGTTTAATATCAACCATTTTAGATAGATTATAGTCTTAACTTTAAAAGGATATTTAAGGTAGATGTTGCTAAATCGAAATTATTTTTCATTTTATGTATCACATTGATTACAAAAATAAATTGTTGTACCTCGGATCTCTTTTACAACTGAGGAATATCTGAAACTCAAAGCAACTGTCAACCAACACCAAGGTCAGGATTTTCAATACAAATATCAAGACAGTTCTACTGTATGGGGCAGAAACTTGGAGAACTGCGAAAGCCATCATTCAGAAGATACAACTGTTTATTAACAGTTGTCTACGCAAAATACTTCGGATCCGTTGGCCAAACACTATCAGTAACAACCTACTGTCGGAGAGAACAAACCAGATCTCAGCGGAGGAAGAAATCAGGAAGAAGAACGGCTGAAAGTGGATAGGACACACATTGAGGAAAGCACCCAACTGCGTCACAAGACAAGCCCTCACATGGAATTCTCAAGGACAAAGGAGGATAGGAAAACCAAAGAACACATTATGCCGGGTAATGGAGGTAAACATGAGAAAAATGAACAAGAATTGGATGGAACTAGAAAAAAAGGCCCAAGACAGATTGCGTTGGAGAATGCTTGTCGGTGGCCTATGCTCCATTAGGAGTAACAGGCGTAAGCAAGTAAGTAAGTTAGTTAGAACTCTTTTGTTAGTTTACATAAATAAATCGTAGACAAATCATTTATTCCTGCAGAGATCAAAGAAACAAATATATTTTAAGTTTCATTGAATTGTTTGAAAACTTCTTCAAAATAAAGTCTACTTAAAAGATGCTTAATTGTTTATTCAATTTATTGAAAATAATAAAAGGAATTTGTTTTTTCCCATTCCATTTACACTAAATGTGCATAATCTTCACCATTAAAATGTAATTATATTACAATATTTTACTACAGTTTGCGTAAAATTTAAAAAAAAGTGGATACTACAAAGTATCTATTTCCATGATACTCCTTTTAATTTCAACACTTTTTCCCTCCCAAAAAAATCAATTGTGTGGTGTTTTGTTTTTGTTTTTTTTATTGCCAATTGTTACTTCAGTTTTTATTTCAGATCCAAAAATTCATCTAATGTATTCTGGTTTATTCGTTTTTGTGCTTGAAAAACAAACTAGAGAATATAATGTATGTAGATGCTGTCGAAAATGATATATAGAATATATTTTGATGATGTAAATCATTGGAAAAAAATCATTGGTTTATCTTGTTTGAAAACCAATAGAAGACAGAATAACCTTTTACGAATTGTGACAGTGGATAAAGAAATTGTTCTTATATGAAATCGGATTTCACGATATTGTCCAATACTCATTCATTACCTGAGGTGAATAACTGTCTCACACCTGACACAGTTGAACTCCATTAATTACGGCTGCTCACTATGTATTCAGAAGTTGAATCTTGAAGCTAGTTCTGCGGACAGTGTCGTGGATATACACTGTTTAGGAGTCTCATGTTAGAAACAAAATTGCCATTCACTGCCTTCATGTATTCGATGATGATCTAAGGTCATTTGGGACCTAAAATCTTTGAAAAATTCTATCTCTCCACAAATACCTTTAAATTACACTGCATTCGTTAAATTTGACAGTTTTGTGAGATGAAGTTCATCAGAATTATGTGATATATTATTCTAATACATTTTTCCTTTACAATTCTTAAAAAAGATTCATATTTCACCATAAATATGAAAGGATTATATGTGATTATATCTCATTTTATTGTGTTTAACAAAATAAATACGTGTAGGCATACATTTTTAGAAAGTTATGATTCTGACATGCAAATATACATAACTGAATAAATAATTTAATTGAAGCCAAACTAAATACTTTATATAGACCAAATAACACCCATATTCTCTATACATCCACATATAAGAATGATTTCAATTCAGCTTTTGTAGTATTTTATAAAAGTGATCTAGGGCGGATACTTGAGTTTGATAAAGCCATACATATATAAAACCCCTCGCAGATTTTTCAAAGTACTTTACCGTCGTTTTAAATTTGACCTAATAATATTAATGTCAATTTAATATGTAGAATGGTAGGGTGTATTTTTTCTTACTTTTCTTTTAGTTCATTCGTTTTATTATTCTGTGTCTTGTGTATATCCATCTTTAATAATATAAATCTATCATTCATTTATAAAAGATCAACAATTTAACTGAACTGTCCATTCAAAATATGAACAAAAACGAAAGATTTGTTTACATTTCAAAATAATGTTTCGAACTGGATACAAATGTTTTCAAACTCTGAGACACTTTAATAAATACTTTTATTATAATGAATCGAAAAATTGACTTAGAAGTGATTTTACAACAAAATTTTATCCATCATATCAACAAACTCCAATATTTAATGACAAAATGTATGTCATTTACGTTGTCTTTTTCTTTCAGGCATTTGAATTATTAATCATAGTATTTGTTCAGAACTAATCTGAACTCAAGTAGTTACATCGTTTATATAGAAGTTGTTTTGATGTAATCTATATTCCATTTTGTATGCTAGACCAAAATACCATTAAATTCAAAATGTAACTGATCGTATTGAGACATTTCAAACAGATTTAGATAGAGTTATCAGCATTTTTATCATGATAAATGACTTGCCTAACTAGAAGATTGAAGAAAAGAGAACGAAAACAGTGAGTGATTGCTGTGGTAATGACTGAACAGTAAAGTCTGAAACGACTGACTGACCCTTTGCAAATGAAGTATTAACCGTATAGTTCTCAGATTTTACTAAGATATTCTGTAATTTTGTATTCAAATACATTCAATTGTCCCTACTTGTGTTCTCGTTCATTACACTGCTCCCACAAACTAATAGAAGTATCTGAATACCTCCTATTGTTCGATCATAAGTATTATAATGTTATGATTTTTGAAAAAATTCCATTTTCATTTATTTCTTCAAACTATCTTTCAATATAATGAATCAATATGATCAGGTTGATTTCTTAAATATAAAATATCTCTTCTTTTGTCCATTTATTTTCTTTCATTTCAAATAAGATTGTCTTATATACTATTTCTTTAACACTTACATAAATGCATATCAATAGATATGCATTAATAATAATTTTAACTATGTTTCTTCTAATGATCAATTGATCTATCACTATTATAAAGTTGTAAGCTCAAGTATACATCATCCATATTTATCCATATTCATTTGGCAAACTTTTTATGATTAAAATAAAATTTGTTATCGAATCCATAAATGTATCCTTAGTATAGTGGAGAAGATTTCTAGCTCAGGTGGATGATTTTGATGGATTTTTATCCTCATAGTCGGATGATTTGGTCGTGGAGATTTCATCTTTCTTCTGAACGGCATCATCAAAACAAACTTTAGGTAGAAGTGAAGTAATACAACCAAAACAAAAAAGTAAACAATAACAAGTTTAAGGTCAACACGAACCAATCAACATAGAGGTATACAGGACAAATTGTGAACCATATATGGAAAAATTCAAACACTTCACTTCTACCTGAAGTTCGTGCTGATGATATCATTCAGAGGAACGATGAACACTCCACGACTGAACCATCCAGATCAGAGAACGAAACTCCATCAATAGTACTCATCTTTTTCCAATATAACACAAAATGGGATATTCTTCTTTAAATTTTGAACTATTGAATGACTATAGTAAACTACCATTTACTAATTTAAACATAAATCAGTTAATAGAATTTAATGAATGTATTGTCATTTTGTTTGAAGTGTAACCGATTTTGTTAAATTACAGTAAAAAGATAATGAATATTTCATTTTCATAATTAATATAAATAGAAAACTCAATAAAATAATTTACCTTCTGGTGTTTGAGGATCCGTTGGTTGATTACCATTTTCTTTACGTTTAATTTGATCTTTATCAGTCTGTCAATTTAATATTAGAATGTCTTATTAAATAAGTAAATATTTAAAGCCTTAATGACTACATATTTTAAAAAAATCTGTTGCTTTACTTTTCATGTGATAAATTGCGTTTACAAATGTGATAAATTGAGTATATCGGCACGTTAGTTGTAGGATCTTCTATTGTTTGTAATAAATATCACATTAATTAAAATAGCTAGTGTATCAGTGTTGGGGACGTTAGATCCCCAGAACTCGCTTAGGAAAGGATCTAATTTTGTAATTTATTCAGAAAATTCGTTTCCGCGCTAAAGGCGCTCTTGTCACCTTCATGTCATATTTCCCACTGGGAGATATCTTAATGCTATTGGTCCTTTGCGTCTTTTAGTATGCTATTTGGTAACTCTCCCGAAGGACGATTTTGCACTGTATATATACGTTTGGAATTGTGTTTGTTGGTATCGCTGGTTTCTGGCTGTTTCGCAGAATATACTTCCCATTACAAGCTTGGAATTCTCCCTCTAGTTAGCTGGGCTGGGACTCATCAATAGCTAGCTTACTGGTCTTTGGTCACTGAATCTTGTTCTTGTTCGCAGATTAAGTGAACTCGTGATAGCTTCAAATCTAGCAATCAGTATGTTATATCTTCATATATTATCATTTGTACTGGTAACATAATTCACTTATCAGCAATTTGTTAACTCATTAGTTATATTTCTTATTGATGTGAACATTCAGTTCAATTGAATACGATCTCTACGCATAAAATACTAATCAACATTTGGCAAACAAGCAAATTACAGTACATCAGTTTAGGTATACTGACTATTGATTTGAAATATATTTTCCCGATTTTCTTGGAAACGAAATATATTTTTTCAGGGACAAAAATCAATCAGTGCTAATGATCCATAAATATCACGCTTTAGGTATAGAGTGTAGATACATTTGGATTAAACAACGTTTACTTGATAATAATTGTGTAGCATACAGGAAACGATATGAGTAATATTGGTGAATAGAGGCTTAAGGCCTTAAACGTACGCTCATTTAACATGATAACATTTCACTGAAGACTAATAATTATGATTACCATCTTGGTATGATTATTGAATTCATTAATCAATAGTGTGAAAGTCATCAATGAATAAAATATCTAAAACGTCTTCATTGTCTGTAGCCATTATCACTAACATATAGATACACTAATATGGACTGACAAACATTTTGAAATTATAAATCACATGCTATCTATGTTTACTTTGATTTTATTCGGCTTATAATAAAAGTTTATTCAAGCTGTCTTGCAATTAAATGGTAGCAACATTCAAATTGGGAATTATTCCAGAGTTAGATACAACTGTGATTCCATATTTTCAAAAGAAGAAGATATGCAAGTTTAATGAAAGTAATTTTTCATATTAATCTTGAAAGATTTTTTTCATTATTCTTTAAAAAGATAAATTTTTCACTAATTACTTACCTTATCTTTTCTTAAAGAATGAAAGGCTCGTTTCCATAATCCTTTAATATTTTGTGAACCGGATGTTGTGACAGATTTCAGGTCACCAGAACCGTCTTTCTTCATATCAATAATTTTTAACTGAATAAAATGTAAATAAAAATGACTTATATTATGACATTTGTTTTATGTCAAATAAATCAAACAATTATCAGTATAAAAGTTGTGGAGATTGGTAAGTTTTTGATTGAGATCATGAACCGATTGATGTTAAACCACTATTGAAAAACTGGAAACACTGAATGGCCGTTTCGTCCTATTGTGGGACTCTTCAGCAGTGTGCATCCACGATCACGCCCGCGGGATTCCAACCCAGGGCCTTCAGTCTCGCGCGTGAACTCTTAACCTACTGGACTACTGAGCCGTTATTCAATGATGTTAATGTCTAACCTCAACCGATCCACGAAATTTCGCGACCATGTTCCATTGTACTGAGGTAGAGACCTGTTTCTACCCGACACGGATTACATTCAGAGTTTAAATAAACATGAATAAGAATAGATTTAGTGCTGTAGAAAAGATGCAAATTATTAAAGTGTAGAGTTACTGTTAATTAATTACTGAGAACGTACACAAAGCACTAGATTAACCTTTTTTTATAACTGCGTATATATGTGAAACATTTGAAGCATTTTACATTTCTGTCTGTTGTAATACAATGTAATTTGAATAACGTGAAATTATTTTATGTCATCAGCTGAAGATAACACTTTGTACAAAATCCGTAATTAACTTTAAATTATACAGTCTCCACTGAATAATGATTGTACATGCTTTAGTTTTAGTAAGAAGATTTGACCAGATTATTGATATAATAGTAAATAGCAGTAGTAAACTATAATTTTGCATGCATATTGATACTGTGTAAAAAATCAATTACAATCTAAAATATTGATCTTTGAATTCAAGATTTATGGTTTATTAACAGCATAGTCGTCAAATGGTCTAGATTTACTCAGCTTGATTTCTATAAGATCGTTGACGCATATACTTGTGGAAGAAAATACAAGAAAGAAATTTATATCGGATACTCTACTTTCTCAGATTCTTAGCTTAAATACCATATTTGAGCGTTTTAATAATGTTGTTCGTTGTTTGTCGTAAAATTTCTTTGTTACTAATTAGCAAAAACGTAAAAAGTGAACTCGGAATCTAAGTGTAAAACTATATTTTAAAGTCTGGAATTGCATATTCACATATTGCTTTGTTTACTAACAGATAAGTAAAGTTTTTCTTTAATTTCCCCAATCAGGTTATGTATATTACCAGCCTAAAATCTTAAAAAAATCAATGGGTTGAAAATTACCAAATGGTTAAAGATGTGAACGACCTACTATTGATTACTAAATTAATGATAAACTATCAACGCAGCAAAACACAATTTGATTTGATTTACTGAACTTCCGTATAACGACCAATATTGTTTTACGAATATCAGTAACTATAATGTTTTCAGTTTCAAAAGAAATTTATTCAGCTATTCAATACCAAAAACCCAAGGATTTTAAAATATCACTTCAATTTCAAACGATAATCTCAAGTCTTCAATCCTCTGAACTATACTATTTCATCATATGTTAAATTTTTTTTACAAAAGAACAACTACCTCCAGATACACATCAATATGGTCAAAAGACAAATGTTGAACAATATATAACCTCTTAAAGTTGAGTCAGCAATTGATCGAAACCTTTATATTTGAATACATTTCAGACTATAATCAATCAAAGAGCAATGTCTACACAAATTATATTTAGAATAAATAATAAAACTTCACCAATGAATTCTTTGATAAAGAAAAAACAATTAAATTTATGTAAAGAAAGTAATGTCACAAATGTGTTATGTACCGACAAGAATAATGAATGGTAACTTTTGGAATCTATTAATGGACCAATACTAACGCATATTTCTGTTGTATAATTATTAAGTAACTAACTATGGATATTCATATTCCTCTTATTATAAGCGTTATTTTGACTCATAAACTATTATTATACGTTTTACCATTCTTGCGTTATACCTGGTATATTAATTACTACCTGCTCATTCACAGCCACATTTGGCTAATTCTTGTACAAATGTTGTTTCATATTTTATTGGTACGTTGTGGTCTGCTTGATTGGTATATAAACAGAATATGTTTGAAATACAATGATTCATATTGCAGAGGCTGAGACTGGTGTTCTGGACTTAACTGGCTGGGCTAGGAGGAAAGCAGGGCCAATCAGGACTCTAGGCTGCTCGCACGTGTTTCACGCGTACTTATTTCAACCGATAATTCACTGCCCTCTAATCGGCTGTCACAAGTTATAACAAAATGGAATGAACAATGTTTAATGTCTTTCATTGAACTTTACGGGATAAGATTTTCTTTTTACAAAAGAAAAATGATAAATACAAAATTTCAATAGTTGAAATCATGAGTCAATTGAAGCTAGACCACCATGGAAAACCTGGAAGCATCAAACAGACATTTTATTCAAGTATGGAACCCTTCAACATGACAATCTAGCTTCAATTGACTCATGATTTCAACTATTGAAATTTCTAAAATCTCTACAAAACCCCTTCTGAAAATACAAGATTGTTTATGACATTTTCTTTAATAAAGTAAAAATGAAATCATAAACAAAACATATTGGATTAATTGAATTTAAACAGCTTTTAAAATGTTTATTTGATCTCGATTGAAAAACAATCCATTATGAATAATACACAAAATAAATTCGTGTGAAATAAAGAAAAAAATAATAGTAAAGCTATTTGACATTGATTGAGAAATTAAACTAAGTCTATCTTTAATATGATTGATAAAGTTAACCACATTTACAAACGTGGAGAATGTTGTGTAATTCAATTTACTAAAGTTCAATGAAATAAGCTTGAAACGAATGAATTTAATCACAGGAATATATATATGTTCAGACGATTATAGATGTTTCGCAAAGTACAGATATTACTTTCTTCTTTCTACTGAATTCATATCAATGTTATACAAATCATGCATTGTCTCATAACTTTTGTTTCATTCTATTAGTACATATTTCTATATTCTATGTAGTATGAAGTTCAATAAAGAAATAAACTAGGGAAAATCAATTCATTTCCTTATGTTTACCTTATTACTAAGTAATCAATAAATGAATAGACAGATATCAGAAGTATTTTTTATGGACAAAATATATTTTCATAATAATTATGACTATACAAATGAAGATGATGTATACAGGGTAATGGTTGTTGCCATGGGACTATTTTGAATAAATGCATGATTTATCTCATTATTAATCATTTTATTATGGCTAACTACCTTAAAATGTGATTTATTCCAAAATAATTCTAAAAAAAGACTTTAACTATAGTATGGAAAATATTATCAGCAGGTGCATAGTGTAGTTGTTATGATTTTCCGTTTGAATACAAATTTGTCACACTGCATAACTTTGCTAAGTACCGTAGAAAAAATATACATCGAAATGAAACTGTTTTTAATAATCGTCATCTTAAGTCACCAAGCAAAGCTATGAAGCCTGTTTGTCGAGATATTTTGAACAATGTCAGTTCACTACCTTGTATACATTGATTGACAATATTTATTTGATAAACATAAATAAAAATTTAATTAATCACGGAACGTTTAGGAATCCAAGGCATCACAAATATATATATTGACGCTTTTGACAGTTTAACTAGAAAATTTATAGTCTAGAGAATACAGTTTTTAAACTTCTGTTGACTATTTAAAAGTAAAAAACTTCAAACATTAATTACAAATAATATGTTTCAATTCAAAAGATATACGTGAATGACTACAATTAGATCACTGGTGCTTATCTTTAGTGTAATGTTTTTTTCCATAAATTACAGTATGAAGCTTTGAGTTATCAAGCCTATTGTTCTTGAAATATGTCACTTAGTCCCTGATAGTATTGTGTGACAGTCAGTTTACATCTTAACTTAAAGGCTATAACTGAGACATACACACTCATTGTATGAAATCTTCATAATATCATTGTAGTAATCTAATATATCGCAGAATAGATGAAAGCGGTATATTTCAACGGTATTTTACAAAAGTAAGAGCAAAGAAGGATATATATTGATGTTTTATCCTTTTGAACAAAGGATATAAACTATATAACTTCCAAAACTGAAAATACAATATTTCACTTTGTTCGAAATTCTAAATAAATTTCATGATTTGCTTGTTTTCAAGAACACAGTACGTAAATATATCAAAATAATCATTATCATTAAACATTTGATTACTATTGTATATATATATATATATATATATATATATATATATATATATATATATATATATATATATATATATATATATATATATATATATATATATATATATATATATATATATAAGCTGAGACGTTCATGACCAACTTTATTACAACCTTTAATAAAAGTTTACCAGGTTATACAAATAGACTATAGCAGATTTATTACACTGAACTCATTTTCATTCTTTACATCCACACTTCTATATTGCCTTACACAACACATAGGTTAGTAATGAACGACCATAATAAAACAACCATAATTTTAGAATAGAATGAAGATCTTTTAATGTAGAGTTTCAACAGTTGAGATCATGAGTCAATTGTGAGGCTCCTCAGTAGTGCGCATCCACGACCACACCTCGTCCAGTGCTTCCAGGTTTTCCATGGTGATCTAGCTTTAATTGACTCAAGATGTCAACTGTTGAAACTACTACGATCTCCACAAAACCCCTTCTGATACTAATACAGAGTTTGTAACTAGCCAATAAATAGGACTGCAGTCATATTAATATCAGTCTACAAAAATGTGCTTCATTTAAATGATTGCTAAAAAATTAATCCAAATTAAAACTAGTTGTTGTTAGATTGAAGAAAAACCGAAATTTTTTTGAATATTTATCAGTTTTGTGTGTTCTGTTATATTTTTTTCAATTTTTCTTCATTATATAACATAACGAATATTGTTTACTTGCTGGAACGGTATGTCAGAGTGAAATTATGTTTTTTTTTAACCGAATTAGATTTCTGTTTCACATTCAATCGGTATCTAATTCAATA